AAAAGTTGGTAAAAATCTTCAATCTCCTCTTCCTTGGCTCTGGTTGTTGGTGCATATATTTGAATGATAGTGGTATTCACTGGACTTCCTTGTATGCATATAGATATTATCCTGTCACTGACAATATTGTACTTCAAGACAGACCCAATAATATAGGTAAATAAAAGATAGTTGGGGTGGCTCATTTCACTATTCTTCCAGCAAATCGATCACTAGTGTGGGGAAAGGAAGAAGGCTCAAAGAGACAAGGAAGTTTCTTTTCAATGGAAGAAAGGGTATGCTTTTAAAAAAGGCACTCCCATGGCTGTTTCTAAAGTTTGTTCTCGAACACTCCCCAAGCTGTGTCCAGAGTGAAGAAAAATGCCTGTCTACTAAAGGGGACACTTGCCAAAGGCTGGCTCCGAAACCCCACACATCTGCATAGGGTGGTGCCCATGACAGTGCAGAGAACAGAAGAAATCGCTAATTACTGCTTTCAGTCATCAGAGACCAAATAATCAACCTGATGGAGTGTTAAGAAAAGAGGTTCTGTTTCCCAACCGCTTCATGCTGCTTGGACGGTAGGAGAGAAGCCGCACAGAAAGCGTAATCCACCACCTCCGAAGCCAGGCATCTGCTGCCAGCCCCACCACTTCCATAGAGATGACAGGAAACTAAATCCCTGCTCCTCACTAACATCCCACATCCCTTAAACTTCCCCAAAATGTCACAATCACTGTGCAGATAATCCTGCTCAGAGAACTCAGCTTCACTAAGCCAGCGATTGTCCTTAGGAAAAGGACAGGAGGCAGACTAATTTGTATTAATTTATGACACTCCTAAAGGTGTTGTGAGCTGTTGTCAAGTGATGGTGATGCACAGTGACTCTATGTGTGCACAGAACAGCTCCACAGAGTTTTCAAGCTGTGACCTTTTGGAATCAGATCACCAAGCCTTGCTTCCAAGGCACCTCTAGGGAGGTTCCAACCATGAACCGTTCAGCTAGTATCTGAGTGTTTAATTGTTGCCACTTAAGAGATTTCCTTATTTCTAATACTCTTGTGACCTAGTGGTAAGGAGCTGTGCTGGCAACCCAAAGGTACATGGTTTGAATGCACCAGCTGCTCCATGGGAGAGAGATGGGCAATATCTTCTGTTTACAACCTCTGAAAACCTACTGGAAGGTCAGTTATGAGTTGGTTCAAACTTGACAGCACATAACATTAATACTTTAACTGGAAGGAGAGAGAAAAAAACACAACCAACCCAACTTGCTTAAACCAACATAGCCAAAAGGAGCAGGGAGCCTGCGAGCAGTACAGCATCATCTGAACCCAGCTCCTGCAGCTTCCTGGGCGGCCTTACCTTGGCAGAGGAAGCTCGACCTCCAAGGACTCCTCGGTCCTTTCACCGCAGTGACTCAGAGTGGCTGAAGCACATGTTTCATCATCGCTGTCTCCAAGAGCACTGTCTGAGCTTTCATTTCTGGGAATGTCTCCTTCAGTTCTGAAGTCCACTTTCCTGTTGGCATCCCCACAGGGGACATCTGCAGTGACCGAGAGGCCAGAGTCATGCTGTACACACCTGTTTGGAACAGGCTCTAACAAAGGACCTTCTGCACCATTCAAACACAAACCTTTCATTTTCCCCAACATTTGTGTTCCAGTTCCAGTGGCAATGTCAGAGGGGGTGTGTGAGTAAGCAGGCCGGTTCAGCTGACCAGCAACATCTCCCGTCATGTTTGTTCCAACGTCTCTGCCCTCAGCAAAACAACTGTCAAGTTCACCTTCATCCCCCTCAGAAGACTGCTTCTGAGGACAGCAGACATCCTTGTGACAGCCAGGATAAAAGGAGACCCTCGAAGCCTGCTGGTCCTGAGTCATGTCAGCCATCACTCTGGACTGAGCTGAGGGATGAGTGGCAAACTCTGGACTTTGTCTGTAGGCCTTTAGCTGCTCCTCCATTTTCATGGTACGACTTTCAAGGTCGGACTCTGGAGATACGGAGCTCCCAATCCGGAAAGTGACCTTTTCTAGGGGAGGATTTCCCCGAGAATGTCTGTCAGGACAGGGCCAGGCTGCTGACCGGTCTGGTGGCTTCTTCGGCATTTCTGCTCCCAACTCCTCACTGACAGTTTGCTGGCTGATTTTTAGTCCTGCCCTCAGAGCTTCAGAACTGGACAGTCTCAAAGAACCATCTCCTAGGGCATCTTTATTACATGCTTCCTCCCCACACATGCCTTGATGTTGCCAAGAGCTGCCCAAAGCTCTATCTTGGAAATCCATGCTACAGGCATCAGAACTCTGCTCTGAACCCTTGCTTCCTTCTCTGTCAGTTGTGCAACTCAGATCTGCAATGCCAGTGCCCTCTAGGGTCTCTGCCCTCCTGGAGGCTTCGTGGTTCCTCCTCTCAGTCGTTAGTGGTAGGATAGGGGGTACGAGAGCAGGCTCATTTCTCACCGTAACTACCACATACTCGGACTCCTCTATCTCGCCTTTCTCCAGGGCTGTTGTGATCTTACTTCCATTTAACACTTGGTCGCCTTCTCCATGACTCCCACTCCAGGTCAGCTGGTTCTCTTGTAGCTCAGAGCAACGGAGGAAGTAGGTCAGGACATAAAGTATGCGCTGGACCAAATCTTTCTGCTTCCCCACCACCACGGTGCGTGTCAGCCTCACTGGAGATCCTATGGCTCCGTACAGATCACCTAGGGAAAAGACACACAGTCCCCTTGGGGTTAGCATGCCATGGATGTTGCCCTAAGAGAAACACACATGACTTACGTCTCCAAGTGAGAAACACTCTGACTGAAGCAAGGAGGGAGGTTGTGTCTAGTGAAGGTTCTGTTCCTGGTTTGCCTCTCTATAGGAAAGCCTGCCCAGAAAGGGCTGGACCAGGCTGCTGCCCGCTGTCAGTGGTACATGAGGCCAGCACAACTGCGCACAGAGCACGTTCAACAGTCCTCCACTTTAGCCTATCAGTGAAGGCTAAACCCAGCACACTGAGTAGGTGAGCAAATTAAACACGCTTATCTTGGAAATTAAAATGTTAGAAATGCTAGAGGAATCTCAGGACAATAAGCCTTGCAGTGAAATCAAAGTTAGGGAATTTTAAAACAGACGCTCAGTGAGTTCATTCAAAATATCTGATAAGGAGCCTGCTTAGAATTCTCTATATACACATCCCCCAACCCCAGTGGGATCAATTTGGTTAACAAGAAAAAAATCACATAATCATGACTAATGAATCTGATATGTTTTCTTTATTTTCTTTAGATGCAAATGCTATTGGGAAAACATATGTCTCATATCAGTCATAAGCTGACAAACTGAATAAAAACTGGCTAATGATCCACCAGCAATACAGTTAGCTTAAGGCTAAATAAAGAGCAATGTTTCAACGAACAAAGAGGCACAAGTTTTTCATCACAAGTATTCGTTAGGTGTTACATGAGTAAACGTTTTACTTTTAATTTATTAAACTTACAAAAGCTATATATCTGCAACTTTTATAATACTATTGATAAATACAACAATAAATCAACATTTACTGACTGTGCTGTTTTAACATACATTTCTCTCATTTACATCTTTATGTAACCAATCTTACAGCTTAGAAACTAACCAGAATAACCAGGAAAGAACCAGAATACTGGAGTGAATAAAAACCTGAAATGATATTAAATAAAGAGCTGCGAGGGAAGTATGACAACAGTTAAAAATGAGAACTCAGGAAACTAGAACCTATGTGTATAGAATGTATCCAGAAAGGCATTAACAAATGCCTTCCCTAAGTAATATTTATCAAGAATAAGGTAACATTTATGAGCAAGAGCCTATGGTAATGAAAGAGGAAGTTCAAGTTGCTCTGAAGGAATTGGCAAAAAACAAGGCTCCAGGAGTTGACGGCATACCAATTGATTTATTTCAACAAACAGACGCTGCCCTGGATGTGCTCACTAAGTTGTGCCAGGAAATCTGGAGGACAGCCAGCTGGCCCACTGACTGGAAAAGATCGATATTTGTTCCCATTCCAAAGAAAGGTGACCCAACGGAGTGTGGAAATTATCAAACAATATCACTGATATCACATGCAAGCAAGATTCTTCTGAAAACTATCCAAAAATGTTTGGAACAATATGTCAACAGAGAACTGCCAGACGTGCAGGCTGGATTTAGAAGAGGTTGTGATACTAGGGATATTATAGCTCATGTTAGATGGATCTTGGCAGAAAGTAAAGAATACCAGAAGAATGTCTATCTGTGCTTCATCGACTACGCAAGAGCTTTTGACTGTGTGGATCACAAGCTGTGGCTGACTCTGAGAAGAATGGGAATCCCAGAACATCTGATCATGCTAATGTGAAACCTATACTTGGACCAAGAGGCAGCTGTCAGAACAGAGCAGGGAGACACTGGATGGTTCAAAATCAAGAAAGGGGTCCGTCAGGGATGTATTTTTGTCTCCATACCTTTTCAATCTGTATGCAGAACAGATCATCCGAGACGCTGGGCTATACGAGGAGGAATGTGGCATCAGGATTAGTAGAAGAATCATCATCGTCCTACATTATGCAGATGATACAACCCTGCTTGCTGAAACTGAGGAGGTTCTGAAGAGCTTGCTGGAGAAGGTCAAGGACTGCAGTTTTCAATATGAATTGAAGCTCAACATAAAGAAAACAAAGATTCTCACCACTGGGCCAATTGGCAGCATCAGTATGGATGGTGAAGAGATTGAGATAGTTAACAGGTTTAGTTTACTTGGATCCACAGTCAACACTCTTGGTAACAGCAGCCAGGAAATCAAGAGACGAATTGCATTGGGAAAGTCAGCTGTGAGGGACCTCTCAAGAGTACGGAAGAGCAACAACATCAGGCTGGAGACTAAGTTGCGCCTGATCCAGGCTATAGTCTTTGCAATTACGTGCTATGCATCAGAGAGTTGGATAGTGACTAGGGATGATAGAGAATTGATGCCTTTGGGCTGTGGTGCTGGAGAAGAGTGTTGAATATACCATGGACTGCAAGGAGAACAAACAGGTTTGTCCTGGAGAGGGTGAAGCTAGAATGCTCCTTGGAGTCAAGGATTCTGAAGCTTCGTCTGACATACTTTGGGCATGTTGCAAGGAGGGACTGGTTCTTGGAGACGGACATCATGTTTGGGAGAGTGGAGGGACGGCACACGAGAGGAAGACCCTTGATGAGATGGATCGATTCTGTGAGTGAAGTGGTGGGAATGAGTGTGTTTCAGACGGCCAGGTTGGTACAGGATAGAACGGCGTTTAGGGCTCTTGTACATAGGGTCTCTATGAGTCACAAGTGACTCGAAGGCACATAATAACAGCAACAAGGTAGCACTTAGAAAAATGTTGTGAATCCTATTATGAAGTACTTCCCGCTGAAGAACCATTAGAAAGTATCTTCTTTGGGGAAAACAAACAAAACAAAACAACTCCAAAGTCAAATTTACCACCATCAAGTTGCTTTTGACTCACAGGGGCCTTCCACTGGGCTTCCAAGGCTGTAAATCACAATAGTAAGAGACTCCAGTGGAGCCACATGGCTCTGAACCACCACAGGGGTGCTTCTTTGGGAGGTTAGCAGCTCGACTCACTACAGACTACAAACACTCCTTTGGAGAATATTCCCTATCGTAAGGGTACTGTTTCTTAGAACAGTAACAGGTAAAATAAAAATATTAAATAATTCTATTAAAAGATTAGACTACAGGCTACTAGAACTTCAAAGTTTTTTCAATAATAAATTCTTCCAAGAACCCAAAGGGATAATGTAGATTTGTAATCTTATGCTAGGGTAAACATCTGTGTTTGGGAAAACAAAGTTTGTTATTGCCCCTTTCTTCTGAGAGCTACATCTTCCCATTGCTGCAAGATAGCATGGTCATGTTAGGAACTCGGGGATTTTTCTTAAGTCAGTCTTGACATTAAATAAGATAAACATCTCATATCTGATATTTGGTATAATACGCCAATGTCTTCTATAATAAATTGGACTTTATATGTTAATAAGTGAGGTGTAATGGGGAAATAAAAAAGGAAGGTTATTAAAAAATAAACATACTCATTTGGACTCTATAATGTTACAAGAGCAAAACTTGTGTAATCAGTGCCATTACTCATGACCAAACTCCATAAAAGAGTATATCATAAAAAAGCATAATCTTAATATTAAATTTTCACTGGATATTTAACGCTAATTTTTGAAGTTCTAGTTTGTGAAGTTATTAATTTCCCCTCTATTTTCATTACAGTTATAGTGTTGTTAGATGCCATGGAGTTGTCTACAACTCATAGTAACCCTCTGACGGAGAAATCTGAACCTTGCTCTATCCTGCACCATTCTTACAATTTTGATTGTGCTGAAGCCCACTGCGTAGTCACTGTGTCAATTCATCTTCGTGAAGGTCTTCTGTTCTTTGACTCTCCACCTTTTCCAGCATGAGGTCGTTTTCCAAGGATTGAAATCATGCCCAGAGTATGTGAGAAGAAGTGTCACCATGCTTGCCTCTAAGCAGTAACCTGGTTGTACTTGCTCCAAAAAAAGACTTGCTTGTTCTGTTTTCATTACTACTATATTTAAAATCAAAGAAAAACATTACACAACATAGGGGACCCTGGGGCACATCATGCTGAGTGAAATCTCTCAGTCACAAAAGGACAAATACTGTATGGCACCATTGTTGCAAAGCAGTCTGACATGAAATGGTTGAGAGGGGAATAGGATAAGAGTGGATAGATAATGACCACTGCATTGGAATAGATGAAAAGAAAGAACTGTCTAAAACAAACATATGAATTAGGTATTCTACGTACAAGAACAGCCTAGAATAAGAGATACATCATTGAAAAAAAAGACTGGGGGGGGGCAGATAATTGTGCATCAATGAATTAATTAAACAAAAAAGTGAATTGGGGAGGGGAGGGGAGGGCAAGGGATGAAATGTGCAACAGTGAATGAATGAAAATCTAACTTCTCTATAAATGTTCGTTACAATCAATTAAAATTAAATTTAAAAAAAAAAAGGGAAAAAAATTGCAGACTTTTCTATATATATCTTTAATGTCCCAAACTTTTTTTTTAAGAGAAAAGCTGCTTTTCACCTTCACAAATAACAGAGGTCATTAGGGTCAAAAAGTGACTGATAAAGAATCACAAGATGTAAGAGAGAGACATTTCAACTTTTTAAGTTCACCCCAAGAAAGAAATAAACTTCATAGTGCAACCTCACACTTTCTCTGAAACAAATATTTCACCAAAATTTGTTGAGTCTGTCTGATATTTTCTATTCAACCACACCTTTTAAATTATTTTTTTATGACCCACTGAATTGGTTCTAGGACCAAATAAAAAATAAGTGGTAATTCACACTGAGAACCACTGGTATAGGACACATGTGTGAGGCAGTGGCAAGGATCGCTAAGCTCCTAAACAAGTCTGTGGAGTGTGAGAGGGGTCACTGCTTCCAGATCATCACTGGCTTTCCTGGGAATGCTAAGAAGCCATGCCGAAGTGGGCACAACACTGGGACCTGCCCTGGCAAGCTCTCTCATTTAGGAACAATGATTACATTAATACCTGCATCACTGTATATTCTGAGCAGTTTATATTTTCCCACTTACTGTGACTTCCTAAACACTTAATTAAAAAAAAAAATAACAGTAATTGGAAGCAAGCACTGTCAAATTATTGAAATGACTCAATTTTTTATAATACTAGGCATTCAACATTTACACTTGGCTTTAGAAAGCTACCACAGTGTAATCTGTGCTAGGGTCTCTTTCCTCATACTACTACTGTCAACAGCCAAAGCCTTGCCATATTGTTTGGAGATGTGGTGGGGTGGGAGAGGGAATTGGAGAGTTTCAACAATTCGTGATCTCCTCTGAGAAATGATGATCATGAACATAAAGGGACTTTCCCTTTTTATGCTGAATGCAGGGAATTAATGGCTCTTAATTAGTTCAATTTCAAATGAGAAGCATATATAATTATAAATACATTCATCTAATTAAGAGTAAAATGTTTAATTAGTATTGCTTTTAAATTAGTGACCCAGTAGCATGGAAAATAATGTTTCCATAACATGCAAGGCCCCTCCCTTCTCTACTTATTGATAACACATTTTTTTTTTCATTTAATGTTCTAGAATAATAACTACGACAATGGCCTGAAGGTCACCTAACAACATTATCCCCTGATGTATTCTCTTTTTAAAAGGTGTCATGACCAAGGGCTCTAGGACAGGACATCTTGGACATCTTTATGAAGACAACAGTAACAATGATACTGTGAGAATCTAACCATCAATACATGTGAAAAACAATATTCATCTCATTCTGTTAACTTTGCTATTATACGGTTTTCTACAATTTCAATGCTTTTCCTAGTCTAGAGTTTCTTTTTCTGGAAAAAGTGACCTTAAACTTTACTTAATTTATCTTTCTCGGAATACTCCCTCCATCCCTTCACTCTGGGTGTCCTTCCAATATCAGCTTCAATGACAAAGATGTTTTGCATATATCTAGAACCCCACAGCAATTTTTTGGCAGATGAAGAAATTGAGGCACAGAGAGGTTAAGTAACTTGCTTATGACCATTCTGCTGGTTAATGATGGCGGTTAGTCAATGGAGCCATTTTCGCTCTGGCACCCATGCTCTAAATCCCGACACCATAATTGTGCTGCTCTCCTGCATCATCCTGAACATCCCCATCCAAAGAGTAATCAGGATGTTTGAAATTGTCTGCATATAAATTTGCCTCCTCCTCTATTAGGCAATCAACTAGCTTCCTGAGGCTAAGCAGCGTGTGTCTGTATTGCTGGCATTTAGCATAGGGTGTAGAATACAGCGAGCAAGAGTGAGTGACTGTGTGTGTGTGTGTGTGTGTGTGTGTGTGTTTAAGAGAGAGAGAGACACACACACACAGAGACAGACAGACAAAGAGACAGTGAGTGTGTGTATACACTCTAAATATTTGGTGAATGAGAAGTCCCAGAATTTACCTCTCCTTCACCTGATCCTAAATACCTAGTCCTGGGCTGACAAGTCCCAAACTCTATATCCAACTATGCTATTTATTACATTAGATTTTCTGAGTACAAACTTTGAGGTAATAAATACTACCAATGAATTAACTACAAGTGAACAATACAGAGAAAGAAAAGATTTCTGACTTACGGTAAAAGTAAATGAGTGGAATTATGCTGTGTTACTTCTCCCCTCCCCATGCCCCCGTATCTTATATCCAGGTCATCCTCTTAGACTAGAATCATCCAAGAAGGGATTGTGCCTATGGTAATATCTGTAGACATTTTTGACTGTCACAAGAGGAATGGGGGCTATGTTCCTACTAGCAGCTAGTGAACAGAAGCCAGGGTATGGCTAACCATTCTATAACATACCCCACCCAACTCCAACAAAAAAAATTAACTCGTTCAAACTGTCAATGGTATTGAAGTTGAGAATCTGATCTAGAGTTAAGAGCTACTACAGTTGGGGATAACACAAGATTAGTTACACCTCTCTGAAAGAGTAGAACAAAGCTGCCAGCAAGAAGATAGAGGAGGAATGTTTACAGCCTTACAATTTGAAACTCTAAGTCAGCCTCCTTCCTATCCACTGTCCAACCAATGGCAACTCGTAGATTAATGATGCGATGGCAAATATAAACTAAAAATTCCAGCATTTCTCTTTTTTCCATTCCTCTGAACAGTCAAATTAAGTACTAACCCAGCTGGGCCCAGAGAGGATTATATGGGTGCGTCTTGGCCAGCATGTTCACTGACTGAGAGGTGCGTTTCTCTGAGAAGGATTTGATGGGAGGGTGGTCAACAGGCATGACAGTTGGTACCCAGGCCAGGTGGTAGGTTAACACTGCAGTCAGTAAGGCAGCAAAAAACCTTGGAGAAATGAAAGAATATGCAATCAGGTTAGTAAATACAGGACGAGGTATGTCACATGTGGCACATACACTGCCCATGAAATTTGCTTAAACTCAAAGTCTCCAGAGAGTTGAAACTTACTGGTTTTTGTTGATCTGTTCTATTAGAAAAGTAAACTCCTTGAGAAAGCGCTGGCAGAGCTGAGTTTTTTCCAAAGTGCTAGACATCATGGTTAGCCATACGGGTTCTGCTATCCTTGGAACAGAATATAAGTTCCAGATAGTTCCTCTATAAGGGAGAAGGAAAAAGGGTATACAATATTGCAACAAATATTATTGTGGATAACATCTGTATAAAATAATAAGAAAACAAAATGTGGTTCTTCGTAGTTCTGAAATCAAGTAGCATATAAAATGGGGCTATAAAAATCTATAGCCCACAGGACAAATCTGACTGCTAAATAAAGACTTACTGGAACATGGCGATCCCTCACTCATCTATGTATTCTTTTTTTTTAAAAAAAATTATTTTAATGAACATTTACAGAGATTTTGGACTTCCGTTCATTCATTGCTGCATTTCTCTTCCTGTCCACTTCCCCCCACCGCCCAGTTCACTCCTCTCCCTGAAAAAGTAAAAGAAAAACTCTGTCCCTGGTACACAATTCCCCCACACCCCTCCCACCACCCCAAGTGCATTCCACTATACAACCTTAATTGTGGACCCTTGTGATAACCATAATACCCTATCATACATCGCTTTTAAATTATTCTCTCCCTCATATGTTTCAGTGAGTATACACAGTTTATCCAGTTCTTGATGACTGCTTTCTCACCACTGGGGCAAAGGTAGATAGTTGTAACAGAGACTCTACTAACAGCAAAGTCTTTACTACTATTAAATGGACTAAGAATAACATTCTTAGAGCTGTAAACAATCAGAGAAACTGACTACTATAGTTTTATCACTTTGCAGATTAAGAAACGGAGGTCTAAGAGAGATTAAGTTACTTAAGCAAGACACAAATATTTCACGACAAGGTCAACACAAGAATGTGATTGCCCAATGCTGCTCTACTCCAAGCTCCGTGACGCAGATGCAGTTTTCTAAAGATCATGCTGACTTAGTTTAGGATCTCCACTTGGTAAAAGGCCACTATCCCTCTGAATACAAAACATTCTTACCATATCAACATATCTGAGGCAGATTCTGACTTGATGTTGTATGTATGTGTGTGCGAAAGAAACAGCAGAACATAAACATCTGCTGAACGGAGCAGCAATAACAAGTTATGGTCACATGAGATGGCAGGCTTTTACTAAACTCAGTCTCTTCATTTTGCCACCACTGCTTGACTGCTGAAGTAAAGAACAAGATCTGTTTTTACATACAAGAGAGGATTTCTGGGTTTGTATTTTGACTCCTAAAAATAGATACTTTCTTTAAACCAGTATTCTAGACTCAAGGACAAGTTAGCTTCTAGGCAGAATATAGCAGAGCAACCAATAAAAAGCCAGCATTGTCCACACAAAGTGCATAACGTCAAGTAACACTGGCAGAGACGGTTCATTCCTCTCCTGTGGAGCAGCTGGTGGATTTGAACTATGTGCCTTTGGGATTGTAGCGCAGCTTCTTACTACTAGGCCACCAGAAGTCCCTGGACAATGGGTAGAAACTAACAGTTTCCTAGCAAAGAAGAACATTTATCTCTGTGACATGTATACACTCCTATCTACGCACTGAACAAACATCTCTGAATTAAAATTTCTACATCTATAAAATAAGATTAAATAGTGCTTACATTTAGATTGTCTATGAGGATAACATACGGTAATAAACAAGCTCAGCCCAACATGTGCACTTTCTTTTTCCACATTTAACCTGTACCAAGGGCTTTCAGGCAATAGTGAGAGTTACCAAAATCACACCAAAAGACCTAGAGTGGAACTGCCCCTGACGGTTTCCAAAAACCATAGATCTCTGCAGAATCTGTGTTCTTCAGAGCAATTGGTGGGTTTGAACACTGACCTCTGGGCTAAACCATGTGTTTAACCACTGTGCCAACTGCAGTGGCTAAGAATATGAATGTTAACTAACAGCACAGTACTGTCATGTCAAGGGAGAGATGTGGCGGTCAACTTCTATAAAGACTTGTAGCCATGGAAACCCGATGGGAAAGTTGTACTCTCTCCTAGAGAATTGTTATGAACTGGATTCAAGATGATAACAAGAGAGTTAGTGAAGATGGTTGTTGTTATGTACCATCAAGTTGGAATCAACCCGTAACTGACCCTTCAGCTGCTTTTCAGAGGAAGTAAATCGCATGAGAGAGTATTCATCTTTCAGCTGGTGGATATGAACTGTGTACCTTTGCCTTGGCAGCACAGTTCCTTAACACTGAGCCACCAGAGCTCTACAGAAGATTACTTAGTGTGAATTACTTCCTGTTTTATTTGGGTCCCAGTGTTCATGATAAAGGAACCATTAAAGTGATTGATAATTGTCCAATTCTCCCAAGTCACAGTCTCTGTGTACCCCTAGATCCATGGCTGCTGCTGCTGCTACTTGCTTGTGTATTTTTCTTCTTAGATTTGGCAAACTAAAAAATTTTACCTGAATTCTCCCAAAGCTTCCATCAAACGGGTGACGTAAAACTGGACTCGGTGACTCGATTCAGCTATCTTCCTACAGGAGATCATGGCCTTTGTTGAAAGGAAAACAAACGAAAAGGCTGAGAAGAATTTTCCTTTGGAATTTATCTAGGGAACTTTATTGATAAAAGATAGTGATTCTAAAACACAATGTACATTAATGAAATACTATGTATGTTAATTATTGTATGCAAAAAAAGTAGTAATATATTACGGTCAAGGAAATAATGATTTAGGTCATCAAAAAGTGGTAATTTCCTCTTCAAAAGCAAGTGAGCAGCTGATAACCTATCACCACTGTGCCTAAGTATCAGTCACTGGTGTGGATGATTTCGCTTCTCTAGGAAGGTTACATGACACATAAACATCCTCTACTCTCTTTACAGGCCTCATAATTGCAAAGTGCATCTCCATTTGCCATTGGATTACATTCCTAGTACCTTTTCAATTGAACTCTTCAGCCTGTTCATGTGAGATTCAAATAGGGGAAAATGTGAAAAAAAGAAGTCTTGGAAATCCTTTTGAGCTTCTTCTTTCTCACACAGGGAAAAGATAATGCTGATGGCAATTTTCTTCCTCCGGACTATGGCTGGATTAGAACTGCAGGTTTCTTCAGCCAAGCTGAATGTCTCATCAGTTGACCTGGAAGAAAATGACTTTCAATGAATCACTCTGAAGCTGAGAAAACGCAGACTCTTAACTGAGAGCCTGTCTAGCTCCCATTCATTCTCTTTCACAGTTCTCTGTCTTAAAAACTGAGAATACTAGTTTGCCACCCAGTTTTAATCCCAATAGGAAAGAAACGCAACTGAAAGCTTAAATAGTAATTCTGATATCTTCTTAGACTTGCAATCATTTTCCTTATGACTGGTGGTGTTTGAGAAGAGTGTGCAAATATCTGTTGATTAAACTATAGACCCTTTGGACTGAGAGACACAAACAGATAAAAACATTGGACATTTTTCTCCACGGAATTCCATTCAACAAAAAATCATGTTTGGATATTTTACTGTTAAGTGTGAACACTAAATGTCAAGGCTTACTCTCCCAAGGTTATTAAAAATACTGGATGAAGTTACTCTCCTGAACACTTAGGAGTCAACGCTGTGATTGGATTCTAACAAGTTCTCCAAGTGGAAAGTTCCACCTTTCAGTCAGATTTTCAAAACCACTTATGATTCTTTTGAGAGACTTTGCTTCTACATTAAGGGAATCAAGAGGCCAAAAATTTCCTAATATATACTCAATTTGTCTAAAGTGGTTAAGTATCACAAATACGACCTTAGCACATGGGTGTCCACTCTCTAATTACATGGAAAAGCCCTCATCGCTGCTGCATAGTTACTAACTACAGAAGAGGAAAGGAAAGGATTGGATTTTGCGCAATGACTTAAGTAGAGAAAACAAGAAATGCTCTTGTGAAAACTTCATTTAAAAAAAAAACAACACCAAAAACTTTCATTAAAAACCACTATCAGCTGTTTTACTGAAAAATTTCTACCTTCTCACCATTTTCTGGACGACAACAACAAACTATTCTCTATGGCTCTCTCACAAATTTCAGAGAATGTCAAACAATGCTTCCTTGTCTTTCCCAACTATCTAGACTATACCCTTGTTTTCATGTACCAACTTATTTGTTTCCATATTGGAAATTCTTGTGAGTTTAGATTGCACCAATACCTTCTTGTAAACCTTCCCTTCTCGTGTGGTAGCTCTTCTCTCTCTTCCTTTTAAAAAATGAAATGACTGTATTAGCACAGTCCTTTTCAGGCCAATCTGGTCATTAGTAACCAAACACAAGAAATATTGAACAAACTCTAGTTAGCTTTACTTATTATCTTCATCTCAACCCTATAAAAAATAACACACTCTCATTAGTTGTAACATAGGAGAGAGTGCCACCTACTGCACTTCTGAAAAACTTCCATGGCAATAGTTAAGAGTTGATAGCTCTTTGCAGTTTCTCTCCATCGAAGGCTAACACAATTGAGCTTCAATCAAATGATATGGTTCAATTATATACCTAAACGTATTAATTCAATACAAAGATGCTTTATAATGCACAGAAAATTTAAGTATTCTCCCAAACACTTCATAATATTTTCATTATCCAAGTCACCAGCTATGGTATACAGATAATTTTGCATATGTGGAAACTGAGGCAGAATGTGCCATCAACTTGCTTAGGGAAAGCTTCATAGTGGCAGTGCTGGGGTCAGAACTCTGGGTTTCTGCTTTCTAGAAGATTTAGATTTCCTTGGGCAATGAAAAAGACCAAGACTCTGAGCCATGTCTGCTCAGTCTGGTGGTACTCATATCATTTAGAAACATTTGGCAGTTATAAAGTACTGACAGGAAATTGTTGTTGTTATTGTTATGTGCTGTCGACTATGAGATCCTATGAACAATGGCTCTGAACCCTTCTCTATTCTGAGCCAACTTCATCATCTCTGACACATTTGCACCCATTGCCACAGTCACTGGGTCAACTGATCATATCCAGGGTCTTCCTCTCCTGTGCTGACCCTCTACCCTTCCAAGCATGATATGCTTCTCCAAGGATGTTTCCTCCTGAAAACATGCCTAAAGTATGCAAGATGGAATGTCACAATTCTTGCCTCCAAGAAGCATCCTGATTTCACCTTCTCTAGGACAGACCTGTTTATGCTCTTGGCAGTCCATGGTATGTTCAATACTCCTCTCCAACATCATAACACAAAAGTATTGATTCTTTTTCTATCATCCCTAGTCATTGTCCAGCTCTCAGAAGCATAGCAAGTAAGTGAGAAGACCAAAGCCTGGATCAGGTGCACCTTGGTCTCTAAAGTGACATTGTTGCTCCTTAGCACTCTGGCGAGGTCCCTGACAACAGCAGACTTTCCCAATGCAACTCATCTTTTGATTTCCTGACTGCTGGTGCCAAGAGTGTTGATTGTGGAACCAAGGAAGCTAAAATGATTAACAACCTCAATGTCTTCTCCATCTTTCATGGTACTGCCAATTGGCTTAGTGGTGTTTTCTTAATGTTGAGATGAAATCCATATTGAAGACTACAGTCCTTGATCTTCTGCAGCAAACACTTAAGTCCTCCTCGGTTCTGGCAGACAAGGTTGTGTCATCTGTATAACACAGCTTGTTAATGACTCTTTCTCCAATCCCGATACCACATTCTTCTGCATAGAGTCCAGTCTCCCAAATGATCTGTTCTGCATGGAGATTGAAAGGTATGAAGAAAGGACACATCTCTGATGCACTCCCTTCTTGATTTGGAATGATGGCAAGAAGAGTTGAGAGCTATTCTATCAACTGATAGGGTAACTGCAGAGCATGAGCATGGAGTCAAGTGTGGGATGACTGCAGCTATGTTGTACATTTTAATGGCTTCCTTATTAAATAAATCAAACCATTTTGTTGATACCTAGAAACAAACATATGCATTCTGAGTACTTTGAGACCATAAACAAAAGTGCATCATGTATGATCTATCACTCTGTGAACTACCATGTATGAACTATCACTGATTTCAGGACTACTCAACCCTAAAATTGTGTCAGCTCTGAACTAATAGTGAACTGACCTATTACTCTGGACCACATAACACTGTCATTTTTGTCATTCAAAAAGCATCCCATGAGCAACTTTTTAAGTTTAGTTCAATTTCATACTTCAAAAGCCCTTCTGGGACATTACAAGGTTTCATTAACTCACTAGGTGATGAAAGCTTCTCTCTCACCAAAATCCTTGGGTAGTGAAAGTGGCTTGAGATCAGTGCCTAACCTAAACATTGGTGGTTTGAACCCACGTGGCTCCACAGAAGCAAAGCCTAGCAAAAAGATTCTGTAAAGATTATGGCTGACAAGATTCCCATGCAGCTCAGTTCTAGTTTATAACACATGGGGACACTATGAAGTGGAATCAACTTGATGGCAACAAGTTTGGATTTCTTGGTTTTCTCTTTTTGGTACCACAGACAACAGTGATGCATCAGTTAGTAAATGGTGGAGCTCGGCTCCCCATCTAATAACAGAACTAAACACCTGACACAGCAGGGGTGACATCATGGGCGTCAGCAGTTAAGGATTTTGAGTATCATCCTTGGCTATAGTCTTTTAACTTTCTTAGGAAGGAAATGTTTTGTTTGCTGTGAATAAATATTCTCTCAAAGCCAACAGCAATCATAATTTTTTTGGTACCCACTGTTCTCATGTTTCTAGGATAAGAAACTAATTTTCAAATCCACACACCTGCCAAAAGGAGAGCTCAATGACAACATCCTTCAAATGCAGGGCTCTAGGATAGAACAGATCCATTCAAATGCCTGCTACACTTGGATTCTCAGTTCTAAAAAGTTTTATGTCAGGGCTGGCTTTGTGGGCAGTCCACAGAGCAGCACAGAGGCCCACCTCCAAGGGTCTTCATTAAGCTTGACTTAATGCTCTGTGGCTGCTATTTTGAAGTTCTTAAGAATTTTATCTTTGAACTTGTGTTCTGTTAAGTGTAGTCTGACGGAGTATGCATGTGAGCAGTGGAGTCTGTCCAAACGACTGGCATGATGGTTAGGAACAAATGAATGGAGCTGCCCAGAGTACCCTAGGACTCCAAAGCAGCCAGATTGGGAATGGAGCCCAGAATGGTTTGTGATGATAGCAACAGCAGTGGTGGTCATGGCCAGGAAAGAGGGAGGTGGGCAGGGGAGCATAGGCAGCCCTGGGACCCAAGGTAAAAGGCAGGTTGTTCTATCTTCAAAGGCAATCTCTATGGAGTCTGCAAATACTAACTACCCAAGCTGTGTCCTGGGACAGTAAATTATGACAGCATAAAAGTCTATGAGTAATAACTCATGATCTGAACCACAGTCCAGCCCTGGCATAGTTTGGACTGCCAACATTGAGCTTCTCCAACGGTTTCTTTCACAAAGGTAGTAAATCTGATTCCTATGCAGCCCATCAGATAAGATCCATGTGTAAAGTCCTCATCCGATACAGGCCATAATCTTTCCAATCACTTGCTATACATCTGAGAGCTGGAGAGTGAATAAGGATGATAGAAGACGAATTGACGTCTTTGAGCTGTGATACTGTCGAAGAGCACTGAATATCCATGGATGGCCGAGAGAGCAAACAATTACGTCCTGGAGAGGGTGCAGCCAGAGTGCTCTTTGGAGGCAAAATGATGAGGTTTCACCTCACATACTTTGGACATGTTGATAGGAGGTGCTATTCCTTGGAGAAGGACAACATACTTGTTGGAAGGGTGGAGGGTCGGTAAGGAAGACCCTCAACCAAGTGGACTGATGTGGTGACTGCTACAGTGGGCTCCTGTGTGTCAGGAAGTGTGAGGATAGTGCAGAACAGAATAGGGTTCAGATCTTTTGTTCACAGTATCAATATGAGTCTGACTCAACTTACGGACATCTAACAACAACAAAAGTCTACACATGTTAAGAAATTATGGTACATTCATGCAATAGAATACTACACAGCACGCAGAAGCAATGATTTTGTAAATTATTACCTAACTTAGGAGGGACTGGAGAGCTTTATGCTGAGTGAACTCAGTCCCACAAGGACAAATATACAAATATTGTAGAACACCATTATTGTAGAATGAGTACGAAGACCCAAGGAGTGGAGGGAGGGTAGAAGCAGAGGGGTGAGGATATAAAGGGGGGTGAGAAGGATTAATCATGGGGTTGTACAATTTGATGGGGAGGGGTGAGGGAAATTTGAAGAATCTGGTCTGAAAAACAATGTATGTGAATTTTGTAAATAAACTAGTATAAAATAATTTTTTAAAAAGTCTATACATGGACACTGCAATGAAGCATAGCATGGAGTCCCTAGATTTCTTCAGAGAATTTATATTCTCTGGTTCTGAAAACTGCTGCAACAATACAAACTTTAATGTCCAGAGACTCAGAAAACGAGAATACATGAAGCTTCAAGTTTTAGAAGAACAAATTATTATTAATGAGAAAGACCATTTTGAAATTAAAATTGAAAATAAAATTAAAGCGGAAGATCTAGTAACAGAATGTACGAAAATCTAGGTATTTTGAAATTACACACAATTCAAGAATTCTAAGACCTTCATAGGAAATGTTAGAGGAAACATTAAAATAACATTCATACATTAACATTTAAAATTAAATTCAGACTTCCATGAAATGGACTGATGTGTAAAATGAAATTATTCTGAGAAAACTTACATGAGATTTCTATGTAATAAAAGGAGCTCTCTTACGGCATAGTACATAGTGTACTGCACTGCTAACCGAAAGGGTACGTGTCTCCTGTGGCTGGAGTCTATCCGCAATCTCATGGAAAAAAGAGGCGCATCTTCTTCCCACTTCTATAGCCTCGGAAGGCTCACAGAAGGTCACTGTGAGTTGAAATCGACTTGACAGCAGTGAGTATTTAGGTAGTAAAACTGGTAATTTACAACTTAATAGAAATGGCGTTGTCAAAGTGTATAAAACACACTGTGTGAACTCAGTCAGTCCCACAAGAACAAATACTATATAAAACCATTATGTACAATGAGTATGAGGATCCAAGTCGGGGCGGGGGAGGGGGTGTGTGAAAGCAGATGGGCGAAGAGGTACATGGCGTGTGGTGGGAATTAATTATGGGGTTGTGCAATTTGTTGGGGGGGTGAGGGAAATGGGAAAGATCTGGTGTGCAAAACAATGTATTTGAATTTTGTAAATAAACTAGTATTAAAAAAAGGTTTAAAAAAATTCCATTGCATGACTATAAAGTTTATTAAACCATTCACCTTAAAAAAAAAAACAAAAAAAAAACCCTCGTCATTTTTCAAAATGACATCTTTGTTTTAAAACATTTTTTTGAGTGAAAGTTTTCAAATTATACTAGTTTTTCATTAATAAATGTTCTGACTAATCAAACCCATGGTGGACAGTGTTTGGTGGAGCTCTCCAATTAAAACAAGCTTGGAAGCAGGAGTGACATCTACTTCTGAAATAGCTTGCCTCTGGAAAATTCCATGAACTTGGAGGAATGATGAAAGTTATACAAGTATTCATTCAGGTCTTTCGTTCATAGGATCACTATGAGTCATCTATGACTCGATGGCACTTATCAACAATAACAACGAGAGAGCTCTGTTGGCTTAATGGATAGAAAGTGATGCTATGAAGCCAAAGGTGGGTGATTTTAATCTGCGACCCTCAGGCCTGGTTTTATGGGGTTTTGGTCTAACATTCTTATAAGAGGTGTAACACTGGTCTGTCCATTTGCTGTACAGAGGTAATTCGTGGCTGCTGTGATGCTAAACACTATGACACTGAGGTGTCAAAGGCAATAATAGTTACCCATGGTGGACAGTGTTTGGTGGAGCTCCCCAAGTAAAACAAGCTTGGAAGCAGGAGTAGCATCCACTTTCAAAATAGCTTGCCTTTGGAAATTCTATGAACTTGGAAAAACGATGAAAGTTATACAAGTGTTCAGGTCTTTTGTTCATAGGGTTGCTATGAGTCGCCTACAATTCTACAGCATTTAACAGCAACAACAATAATCAAACTCTTATAATGATGTCAGTCTGGAGACTAAGGTGCACCTGATCTAGGCCATGGTCTTCACAATTACTTGCTATGTATCAGAGAGCTGGACAATGACAAAGGATGACAGAAGAATTGATGCCTTTGAGTAATGGCACTGGAAAGGAGTCTTAAACATACTATGAATTGCCAAGAAAGCAAACAGGTCTGTCTTAGAGAGAGTGAAACCAAGTTTCTCCTGGAGGCTAGGATTTTTGAAGCTCTGTCTCACATAATTTGGGCACATGGCCAGGAATGACCGGTCTTTGGAGAATGATATCATGCTCAAAAGGGTGGAGGGACAGTGCAAGAGAGGGAGACCCTGGATGAGATGGATTGATACAGTAATTGGAGCAATGTAGGTTGGTATGTTGCAATCAGTGAGATTGGCTCAGGACAGGGCAGGCTTCAGAGCTGCTGTACAAAGAGTTGCTATGGGTCACAGGTGACTCTAAGATACAAAACAACAACATCAAACCTTTACATGACATTAACCCTATTACATTTTATTAAAAGTTAAATATTTAAAAAAAATTTATATTTTAGTACTTTCTGTGGCACTCTCCCCTGCTACTGAACTAAAGAACTCCACATTTTCACTTGTGCTGGCATCACAACAGCTGTGTGTAATCCTAATTATGCATAAGGGCTTTCTGAACTCAAGATATTTATTTTGGGTGTTAATTTACTAGATACCCATTTAGGCTCTAATACTACATCTCAACTCAAATGGATTTTAAAGGGTTTTGGTGAAGTGGGTTAAGGAATATTATTCAACTTTAGATCTAAATTAGAGAAATCTGGAAAAGACTTTTTCATAAAGAGAAGATGTTGAAAGAGAATGCTTTCCAATACCCTTCTCTTCCAATCACAAAATCCAACAAAACAGCAGTGTCTTCTGATATCTTCAACATTGGTAATAATGATGGTAATAACAGCAGAAAATACATGGTGCTGATCAATATTTTTTTTCTAATCTCCCTCGTCCTGAGATAAACACTTGACTCACTTTATCTCATTTAACTCTCCAACAATCCTTTGAGGCAGGTACTAGTACTATTTATTGTTATTCACTGATGAAAAAAACAACACTTAGAACACAGCTGAAGTTCTACCATATACCTAGTGAGTGACAGGGCTAAGAATTATTCCCACATCAGGTCTGAAGCCCTTAATCATAATCATTCTACACAAAGACCACCAACCAAAAGAGAAACTTCTCAGTTAAGCTCTCTCTTTTAGACAAACATATTCTCTCTTTATTTACACACACACACACACACACACACACACACACACACACACACTCATGATCATCTTTGTTTGCCACTTTCCAGGCTGCTATTCTTTCCCGAAGGAGCAGGTGGATTTGAGCCTCCAACCTTTCAGTACCCTAAAAACAATGTTGTTGTTGATTGTTGTCAAGTTGAGCATGACTCATAGTAATCCTATGAACAAAAGCCTGACACCTTTCTATAACTATCGTTTATCAAAGCTCATAGAGTTTCCAGAGGCATGCTGTTTAGGAAGTGTATGCCACTCTTGCTTTCAAAATAACAATATAGGTAACACAAAATATTTTCAAACACTACCTAGGTTTAATAAAAAATCAAAGAGGAGATTTCTTGTACTCTTACTATAATAAAAGCTATTTCTGATATTTAGCCAATTTAAGGAGAGAAGGCACTCAAACTAAAATCAAATTTAATGCATGGCTCAACCATCCAGGTGTTTTTCACTGTTTCCCAAGCCAGGATATTTTCTCTATGTTTTATTTATTCCTTCCATAGAACTTTAAATTTGTAAATTTTCAGGCTAGTTGAAACCAGAACATGTGAGCCTTCCTTTTTCATTACCAACAGACAAGTGCCGGCGAGAGGTCCATGCTCTGCAGGTTTCAGCACACTGCCCACATTACTACCTTTCTCAGTAAGAGAAAATACGCAACTCACCTCCTTGGAATGATGCCATTTTCTAAACTTGTTGTCTGACTTCGAAGCCAGCGGCGCTGGTAGCTGCTGGAAGAGGACGTAGAAGAGCTGGGAGATGGAAAAGGTGTAATCAGAAGGCTGCTTAGGGAGGCTGTGGAGAAGAAAATGCAAAAGTTAAAATAAGTTAATTCTCAACTTATCCAACAATATCATTAATATCACATGCAAGCAAGACCAGCTGAAGATCATTTAAAAATGGCTAGACTAGTACATTATCAGAACTGCCAAAGACTCAAGTTAGATTCAAAAGAGGCAGTGGCACCAGAGATACTACCGCTGATGTCAGATGGATCTTAGTGAAAAGCAGAGAACACCAAAAGGATGTCTATTTGTCTTTTATTGACTATGCAAAGGCTTTTGACTCTGTGGATAATGACAAATTGTGGCTAACACTGAGGAGAATGGGAATCTCAGAACACGTAATTGTGCACATGTAAAACCTATATACCTAGATCAAGAAGCTGTTGTTCAAACATAACAAGCACACACTGCATAGTTTAAAAACAAGAAAGGTGAGTGTGTCAAGCCTGTATCCTTTCTCCATATCTATTCAATCTGTATGTCGAACAAATTATTCAGAAAGCTGGACTTATTAAGAAGAATGTGGCATCAGAATCACCGGCAGACTCATCAACAACCTATGTTATGCAGTAACACCTTTTACTCACTGAAAGACAAGACCTGAAGCACTTTTTGGAAAAGATCAAAGACTACATCTTAACGTCAAGAAAGCAAAAACTCTAACCACCGGGCCAACAGGAAACATCATGACAGATGAAGAAAGGACTGAAACTGTCAACAATTTCATCTTACTTGAATCAATGTCCTGGGTACCAGCACTCACGAAATCGGGAGACATACTGCTATCAAAGAGCTCTCCAAAATGCTAAGCAGCAGCTAAGGTGCACCTGAACAAATCCACAGTCTTCTCAATTTCATGCTATACAACTGAAAGCTGGACAATGAATAAGAATGACAGAAGAACTGATGCCTTTGAGTTGTGGTATTGGGAAGAAGAGTAAAGACTGTCCCATAGACTGTCAAAACAACAAACATATATATTGGAGAATCGTGCACCGATCGTGGTGCTCTTTAGATGCAGACATAGTGAGATTTTTCTTGCATATACGTAGGGCATTTGTTAGGAGGAATCATCCTTGGAAAAAGACACCATAGGTGGAAAGGTGGAGGGTTAGTGAAAGAGAGAAAGATCCTCATTGAGAAAGACTGACAATGATGGTAACAACACACTTAAGTATATAAATATATCTATATCTAATCTCTATATATCAGAGATAGTGAGGATGGCACAGGACAGGGTAGGATACAGACTGGCTATTCATAGGGTTGTTATGGCTCACAGTCAACTAGAGGGAATCGAATGAACAGCAACAGTAGAGCTTTTAAAATCATTCTGGTTCTATCAAGTGCATCCACCAGGGGGAGACTGTAATTCCTAAGATTTCAATACAGCAAAAAAAGGATTTTTAAAATGGAAAACAAAATAGAGTAAGGATTACAGACATAGCAAATGCATGCATTATAGGTCCTACATTACAAATGCAAAATAATTCTTGTTGACAGTGTAAAATTGCAGGTTTCTGACAAAATACTCTATGCAACACCTAGTGACTGCCACACCTACTGTACTTACACCTAATGAAACAATTACAACTGACTGCAACATTGTGTGTCAAAGTAGAACTATGATCCATAAGATTTTCAATGGCTGGCATCTTTTGAAAGTAGATTTTAAGGTGCATTTAAATGGGTTCAAACTGTCAACCTTTTGGTTAGTAGACAAAAAATGCTTAACCATTTGCATGTTTTAGTTTTTTTAAATTTTATTTTATACTGCTTTACTTACAAAGTCTGTATACATTTTTTCTCACACTAGATCTTTCCCCTTTCCTTTATACCCACCCCTCCCTCCCCCATCAAATTGTGTGACATGTTTTTGTTTTGTTTTGTTGTTTGTTTGTTTTTTTTGTTGTTGTTGTTGTTATAAGAACAACAGTCTTCAAATGCACCGGAGTGTTGGCTCATCTCTTTTTTCTTTCTTTTTTTTTATTAGTTTTAATGAACATTTACAGAGATTTTGGGTTTTCATTGATTCATTGTTGCACCGCTTTCTCCACCCTCCTCCCCAGTCCGTTCCTCCCTCCCCCGCCATGTCTGTTTTAATTGTCCAATTGCTACAGTGCCCGCCAAAGCCAGTTCTGATCAATTTCCCTTGTCAGTGTGTCCCTTGCCATTCCCTATCTCTCCT